ATACCTGACATTGCTCTGCCTGGGGCTCTTAAAATATAGTAATTCGCAAGCATACAGCCTATTTAGGTTAGTTTCCACTACTGATCCTCCTCAGCAAGACAGACAGGCCTTACATAAGCAGCCCAGGAGGACAGTCAAGATCACAAGGTTATGCCTGTCAGTGTGTATTAAAGCAAATGTCTGAGTGGGGAGAGTGCTGTGCTGTGCTGCTTAGTGATTAGATCAGATGAGTTTATTGGTCACGTGCACAGGGTCACACATGTAATTGCAGGGTACAGTGAATTTATTAAGCTCCGAGCTCAAACAGTGCAGCTGAAAAAGAGAAGTGAATGAAAATAATATATATACAGTGAGGGAAAAAAGTATTTGATCCCCTGCTGATTTTGTACGTTTGCCCACTGACAAAGACATGATCAGTCTATAATTTTAATGGTAGGTTTATTTGAACAGTGAGAGACAGAATAAAAACAAAAAAATCCAGAAAAACGCATGCAAAAATGTTATAAATTGATTTCCATTTTAATGAGGGAAATAAGTATTTGACCCCTCTGCAAAACATGACTTAGTACTTGGTGGCAAAACCCTTGTTGGCAATCACAGAGGTCAGACGTTTCTTGTAGTTGGCCACCAGGTTTGCACACATCTCAGGAGGGATTTTGTCCCACTCCTCTTTGCAGATCTTCTCCAAGTCATTAAGGTTTCGAGGCTGACTTTTGGCAACTCGAACCTTCAGCTCCCTCCACAGATTTTCTATGAGATTAAGGTCTGGAGACTGGCTAGGCCACTCCAGGACCTTAATGTGCTTATTTTTTAGCCACTCCTTTGTTCCCTTGGCCGTGTGTTTTGGGTCATTGTCATGCTGGAATACCCATCCACGACCCATTTTCAATGCCCTGGCTGAGGGAAGGAGGTTCTCACCCAAGATTTGACGGTACATGGCGCCGTCCATCGTCTCTTTGATGTGGTGAAATTGTCCTGTCCCCTTAGCAGAAAAACACCCCCAAAGCATAATGTTTCCACCTCCATGTTTGACGGTGGGGATGGTGTTCTTGGGGTCATAGGCAGCATTCCTCCTCCTCCAAACACGGCGAGTTGAGTTGATGCCAAAGAGCTCGATTTTGGTCTCATCTGACCACAACACTTTCACCCAGTTCTCCTCTGAATCATTCAGATGTTCATTGGCAAACTTCAGACGGGCCTGTATATGTGCTTTCTTGAGCAGGGGGACCTTGCGGGCGCAGCAGGATTTCAGTCCTTCACGGCATAGTGTGTTACCAATTGTTTTCTTGGTGACTATGGTCCCAGCTGCCTTGAGATCATTGACAAGATCCTCCTGTGTAGTTCTGGGCTGATTCCTCACAGTTCTCATGATCATTGCAACTCCACGAGGTGAGATCTTGCATGGAGCCCCAGGCCGAGGGAGATTGACAGTTCTTTTGTGTTTCTTCCATTTGCGAATAATCGCACCAACTGTTGTCACCTTCTCACCAAGCTGCTTGACGATGGTCTTGTAGCCCATTCCATCCTTGTGTAGGTCTACAATCTTGTCCCTGACATCCTTGGAGAGCTCTTTGGTCTTGGCCATGGTGGAGAGTTTGGAATCTGATTGATTGATTGCTTCTGTGGACAGGTGTCTTTTATACAGGTAACAAACTGAGATTAGGAGCACTCCCTTTAAGAGTGTGCTCCTAATCTCAGCTCGTTACCTGTATGAAAGACACTTGGGAGCCAGAAATCTTTCTGATTTTGAGGGGGTCAAATACTTATTTCCCTCATTAAAATGCAAATCAATTTATAACATTTTTGACATGCGCTTTTCTGGATTTTGTTGTTGTTATTCTGTCTCTCACTGTTCAAATAAACCTACCATTAAAATTCTAGACTGATCATGTCTTTGTCAGTGGGCAAACGTACAAAATCAGCAGGGGATCAAATACTTTTTTCCCTCACTGTATATATATATATATATATATATATATATACATACATACATACATACATACATACATACATACATATAGTACCAGTCAAAAGTTTGGACACACCTACACATTCCAGGGTTTTTCAAATTTTTTTTACAATTTTCTACATTGGAGAATAATAGTGAAGACATCACAACTATGAAATAACAAATATGGAATCATGTAGTAACAAAAAAAGTGTTAGAAGTAGCCACCCTTTGCCTTGATGACAGCTTTGCACACTCTTGGCATTCTCTCAACCAGCTTCACCTGGAATGCTTTTCCAACAGTCTTGAAGGAGTTCCAACGTATGCTGAGCACTTGTTGGCTGCTTTTCCTTCACTCTGCGGTCCAACTCATCCCAAACCATCTCAATTGGGTTGAGGTTGGGTGATTGTGGAGGCCAGGTCATCTGATGCAGCACTCCATCACTCAAATAGCCCTTACACAGCCTGGAGGTGCGGTCAGCGGCGTTGGAGTTGCCATGCCAGGCTGTGATGCAGCCCGACAGTATGCTCTCGATGGTCGTCCTGTAGAACACTTTGAGGGCCACATTTCTTCAGCCTTCTGAGGTTGAAGAGTCGCTGTTGTGCCTTCTTCACCACGGTGCCTGTGTGGTTTGACCATTTCAGCTCCTCTGAGATGTGTACGCCAGAGTATGTGAGCGGAGCTGGAAAGGAGCGAGGAGCAGAGCATGCCTAATTTTGACTGGAGAACGGAGCGAGTTTCACGAGCTCAGGGCATGCCCGGCCCAGAATGCATTTGTAGGCTACTTGTGCGCTGCTATAGCCCCTTGCTTTAGCTACTGTCATGGAGGTCGCTAATTATTTTCACAAAGAAACTAATAAAACACACAGGTGCTAAATCAAGGTGACTTACAATGAATCGGACCAAGAGCAAGAGAGGGAGTGCAGTTATGTAGTGTCCACAACTAAATAATCTTTGTGGAATACGAAAAGTATCCCGAAAGCATGATGGTGTTCTTAGTACGTGCACATGCAGACAGAAAGGAATGAGGTGGGTAGCTAGCTGTGTCATTGTAGCAAAGTATTTATAAACTAAAAATCAGATCTGTTAAAGGTTTCATCCATTTTTGTTCTATTATCTATACAATGCGCTATCATTGATTTTGGCCCAACAGGCCAGACATATGACCTCTTTCAAGGAGCTTGCCATTTTGATACGGTTATTTAGCCTAAAAACCTTTAGGCCTACCTATAGAGAAATGTAAATCAACTCATTGCTCTGCAAGCGTGGAGAGGGTATTCTCCACTGCTGGCCTGCTCTCCATCACATGAGCCTGAAGCCACAGACTCTGGCCAAATTCGTGTTTCTAAAAGTGAATTCAAAGGCACTAGTAAGGCATTTCTCATTTAATTTTTGTTGAATTATAAGTGAGTCACAGCCTATGTGTGCAATTTATAGAATATACTGTAATGATTTAATACAACAAAAGGTTGTTTACATGCTGAGCGCTTAATGTCCCTGCCAGCCTAGTGTCACACTCGCAAATGCTTCACAATTGACTTCTTTGTAGGCTATAGCCTTGAAATAATAGGCCTAGAAATATGTAGCCTATTTCAAATCATAAGCACTTCTTACAGTAACCTTTTCATGTTGTTCATTAAAATACTTTTGATTCAAATCATATGGTTTGGTTTCAATACTTCAAAACCAAATGGTAGGTCCAGGTAGTCACAAAAATAGATTGGAGTGGCAGTTTTTTTTTTTGGTGAGCAAGGAGTGGTTTTTTAGGAGAGGTTTTTAGCGAAGCGGTTGGAAAGGAAGTAGAGCGCTGGAGCGGTGTGCAAGCACCTCTCCGTGAGCTTGAGCACCGCTCCGTGAGCAATGAGCGGGATTTTCGGAACTTTTTGACCGCCTCCATGGCGGCCCCATTGATGAGGATGGGGGCGTGCCCAGCCTAATTCCTCCTCAAATCCACAATCCGCCCCTTTGTTTTGCTGATGTTGAGGGAGAGGTTGTCCACCTGGCACCACGCCGTCAGAGTGCATACCTCCTCTCTGTGGGCCGTCTCGTCGTTGTTGGTAATCAGGCCTAATACTGTTGTGTCATAAGTGAACGTGATGATGGAGTTGGAACTGTGTGAGGCCACGCAGTCATGGGTATACAGGGAGTACAGGAGGGGACTGAGGACACACCCTTGTGGGGCCCACATGTTGAGGATCTGTGATGTTGCCTACCTTCACCACCTGGGGACGGCCTGTCAGGAAGTCCAGGACCCAGTTGCATAGGGAGTTCAGTCCCAGGGCCTTTGTGGTGAGCTTAGAGTGCACTATGGTATTGAAGGCAGAGCTGTAGTCAATGAACAGGATCTGTCAGGGCGGTAGGCGAATTGGAGAGGGTTGAGTGTGTCAAGGAGGGAGGAGGTGATGTGGTCTTTGACTAGCTTCTCACTTCATGATGATGGAAGTGAGTGCTACGTGTCGATAGTCATTCAGTTCAGTTACTTTCCCTATATTGGGCATGGGGATGATAGTGGACATCTTGAAGAAGGTGGGGATAACGGCCTGAGCTAGAGAGAGATTGAAAATGTCAGAAAACACAACAGCTAGCTGGTCTGCACATGCTCTGAGGGCATGGCTAGGGATACCGTCTGGGCCGGCAGCCTTGCGTTAACGCGCTTGGATGACTTGCATACGTCCTTCTTGGAGACCGCAATCACGTAGCCCTCATTGTCCTCAGGGGCTCTCCTCAGCAGCTCAGAGTTGTTATGCTCGAAGTGTGAGAAAAAGGTGTTTAGCTCGTCCGGTAGGGTGACGTGACTGGCTTTCTTTTTGTAATCTGTGATCGTTAGAAGCTCCTGCCACATACACCTCGTGTCCGACCCGCTGAATTGCTCCTCCACTTTGTCCTTATACTTGTGTCTCGTCATCTTGATCGAACTGCGCAGGTCGTATTTGTACAGTTTTGTATTATTATTATTATGCTTTTTAGGTAAGATACCCCTCATTTGCAAGTTTTAATAATATAAATGTATACAATAATAACAATTTACATAATTGTTCCACAGGAAACACATCATAGTCTGTCATCTGTAGCTAGTCCTCTGGCTAGAAGGTAGAAATACCTGACTCCGTCCCTGACCACAACCTCAGTCTCTGGCGAGGTCACCTCCATCACAGCCAACAGTCTGGAGAGGACAGAGAGAGATGTTAGACGTAATGTTAAATGTTACGTTTACATTTTTACACACTTACTAAGTATACAAGTTTTAACTTGTATATTATAATAATAATATTAACAGCAGGACCAGCATCAACAAGGCCTAGGAAGGTTATGGTGTGAGGGACCAACCTGTGGGTGATGTCTGTGGACATTCTCCTAGCTGCCTCAGGGTCTTTCTTTAGTAGAGCCTGGTAGCTGGAGAAGGACTCTATCATGCCCATGTAGCTGGACAGAGTCATGGGCCTCTTCACCCCAACCTGGTCTCAGAGCATTTCATATTATTCTCTACGTAAATTAGTGACAATCCATTTAGTATGATATGTTACGTTTCGTATATGGTATGTATTAATTTGTTGATGTCCATCACCCATTTTGTATGATTATATTACGAATTATGATTGGTATTATATGTTACGAATTAGCAAAATGTACAAAATGTTACGCATTTTCAAAATGTACAATATGTTACGAATTTGCTAAACCTGTGATATGTTACGAATTCTAGCAAGGTGGCTAGGTTGCTAACGTTAGCTAGCTGGTTAACGTTAGCTAGGCTAGGGGTTAGGAGTTAGGGTTAAGGTTAGGTTAAAGGGTTAAGGTTTGGGTTAGGGGAAGGGTTAGCTAAAATGATTAAGGTTAGGGGAAGGGTTAGTTAAAAGGGTTAAGGTTAGGATTAGGGGAAGGGCTAAGTAGTTGCAAAGTAGCTAAAAAGTAGTAAGTAGTTCAAAAGTTGCTAATTAGCTGCTAAAGTTGTCCATGATGAGATTCAAACTCGCAACCTTTGGGTTGACTTAAGTAACCGTCTATCCTGTGTAACCATACCAAACATAACATATCAGACTAATTTGAGTGTCCAGTGTTTACTTTTACTATGTTCCATCTAGTCTATGAGACCAGGCTGTTCACCCATATACACTCCTGCCTAGACACAACTGTTCAACACAGAATTAGCAATGAGTTTGTCTCGCAATGCCATCCTTCTAATTGTTGTTAATCACTCAGCTACTGGAGGAAGTGTAGAGGGTTCATTGCTGATATTCTCTTATTCTTAAACAAACTTTAAACTTTAGAAGCAGGCAGAAGTTAATACAGAGTCAACAGGATTTGGATGGCTCTTCATAAGTTCTGCAAAATGTCGAGAACAATCTCTGCTTTTTATACTAGCACTCCCTTCCCATAGCGTGATGTTTTCCCCTGACCCTGAACTTGCCCTAGCAACAACAAAGTACTCCTCCTAATCCTGTCTTCCCACAAACTCAGTATCAGGGGGTGAGGTGTCAGACAATGTGGTAATTATGGTTGCAGGTTGCTGAGAACTTTCTGCTGTCAAGGCCTCCATAGTTTTTAATAATGTAAGCGAATGCGCATAATAGATCATATATTCCCCATCAGAAGCCTGGAAATCGAGGATAGCACTGAATTCAACACTTATTGTACAGTAGCAACAAGGGCAGATGTAACAGTGGATGCAACGGTACTCAGGCCTCACCACTCTTTCTCTGTGTAGGGGATGGAGTCGTAGGACTGATTGTAGAGAACCACAGAGCTGGGGCCCAGGCAGAGGTTATGATAGGGCAGGAGGGCAGCATAAAACTGATGAGATAAAAAAAGACAAATGCTGTTGAAAAAACACAACAAATTCATGCATTTTGAATTTGTACATCGTCAATTTATCAAAGATGTGCATTGTATTTTGTTTGCATGTTTTCTACAGTGAATAGAATGGTACATTTCCACTGTTTATGGATAATATACCTTTCTTCTATTCTTATGGTAATATTTTATGTATCATTAAGGAAAATGTTGGGAAATGTCAAAGATAAAATATAGTAAACATGATTGACATTCTATAATTCAGATGTATGTTTAAATAAGGAATATAGCCAATACAGTGTGTAACCATGCCTTAATGTCTGTATGTGTATTATTTTTGAGAAAGGGTCTGCCACCAATATAATGAGATAAGAGGAAGAGGCCATATGGAAAAGCGCCCATGGCCTTTTGGAGTAAGCCACATGTGACATCTGGACGTTGAAAGATAAGGGTAGAGTGGCACTAAAAGATGTTAATCATTTATCTTAAGGGGAGTAGCTTTGTATGCTAAGTAAACATGACTGTGCATTTGTGTGTGTATATAAGAGATCTCTAGGCCAAAGAGAGACAGCCGTTCCATGGAGTGGCTCGGCTTTGTTACGCAATAATAAAGTCTAATTTCTGGATTCACAAGCTCCAGTCTCTTGAGAGATATTTTTGAGTTGACTACTTTTGAGTCAAATATTTCTACGACATTCTCTAGAGTCGTCCAGACCTCCTTGCAGACTGTGTTGCGTGTGTGGTAGCAGTCTCCATAATGGATCTCAATGTCCATGGTATAGTTGAGTGGAGCGAGACAGCCTTTAGGTTGCAGGATCCTACGGGCTTCCTGGAAGAAACGCTGCTGGTCAAACCAGTGGAAGGCAGTCATGGCCGTCACCAGGCCCACTGAGCTGTCTGCGAAGGGCAGCTCTTCAGCCGGACACTGTCTATAGGCAAAGCGAGCAACACAATTGTTTTATTTTTTATTTCACCTTTATTTAACCAGGTCATTTACAATGATCAGCAGCCAGATGCTGTCTATATAGAGATGAGAGACAGACAGATCAAGGCTACATAAAACAGTCTATACTGAAGTTATTTGCTAGCCTAGTCTCAGATCTGTAAAGATATTTTCTAGCTTGGTACCAGATCTGTTTCTGCTCTCTTGCAAACTCCTATGGTCATTGCCACGATAGGAGTTGGCAAAACACTGTTTACCATACAACTGTCCCCAGTCTCCTTGCCGTGTTTATAAGCAGCATCTCTCTCCTTCAGTTTCCTGACAAGGCTGCCATCAATCTGCGGTTTTTGATTTGGGCATGTTTTAAAAGACACCATAGGTATCACATCGTCTATGCATTTTTGTAATCCGGTGACTGTGAGTTGGCGTATTCATTGATGTTATCCCCAGAGGCGCCCCAGAACATATTTACATTTTAGTCATATATACTACAGTGGGGAAAAAAAGTATTTAGTCAGCCACCAATTGTGCAAGTTCTCCCACTTAAAAAGATGAGAGAGGCCTGTAATTTTCATCATAGGTACACATCAACTATGACAGACAAATTGAGGAAAAAAAATCCAGAAAATCACATTGTATGATTTTTAATGAATTTATTTGCAAATTATGGTGGAAAATAAGTATTTGGTCACCTACAAACAAGCAAGATTTCTGGCTCTCACAGACCTGTAACTTCTTCTTTAAGAGGCTTCTCTGACCTCCACTCGTTACCTGTATTAATGGCACCTGTTTGAACTTGTTATCAGTATAAAAGACACCTGTCCACAACCTCAAACAGTCACACTCCAAACTCCACTATGGCCAAGACCAAAGAGCTGTCAAAGGACACCAGAAACAAAATTGTAGACCTGCACCAGGCTGGGAAGACTGAATCTGCAATAGGTAAGCAGCTTGGTTTGAAGAAATCAACTGTGGGAGCAATTATTAGGAAATGGAAGACATACAAGACCACTGATAATCTCCCTCGATCTGGGGCTCCACGCAAGATCTCACCCCGTGGGGTCAAAATGATCACAAGAACGGTGAGGAAAAATCCCAGAACCACACGGGGGGACCTAATGAATGACCTGCAGAGAGCTGGGACCAAAGTAACAAAGCCTACCATCAGTAACACACTACGCCGCCAGGGACTCAAATCCTGCAGTGCAAGACGTGTCCCCCTGCTTAAGCCAGTACATGTCCAGGCCCGTCTGAAGTTTGCCAGAGTGCATTTGGATGATCCAGAAGAGGATTGGGAGAATGTCATATGGTCAGATGAAACCAAAATATAACTTTTTGGTAAAAACTCAACTCGTCGTGTTTGGAGGACAAAGAATGCTGAGTTGCATCCAAAGAACACCATACCTAATGTGAAGCATGGGGGTGGAAACAAGATGAAACCAAAATATAACTTTTTGGTAAAAACTCAACTTGTCGTGTTTGGAGGACAAAGAATGCTGAGTTGCATCCAAAGAACACCATACCTACTGTGAAGCATGGGGGTGGAAACATCATGCTTTGGGGCTGTTTTTCTGCAAAGGGACCAGGACGACTGATTCGTGTAAAGGAAAGAATGAATGGGGCCATGTATCGTGAGATTTTGAGTGAAAACCTCCTTCCATCAGCAAGGGCATTGAAGATGAAACGTGGCTAGGTCTTTCAGCATGACAATGATCCCAAACACACCGCCCGGGCAACGAAGGAGTGGCTTCGTAAGAAGCATTTCAAGGTCCTGGAGTGGCCTAGCCAGTCTCCAGATCTCAACCCCATAGAAAGTCTTTGGAGGGAGTTGAAAGTCTGTGTTGCCCAGCGACAGCCCCAAAACATCACTGCTCTAGAGGAGATCTGCATGGAGGAATGGGCCAAAATACCAGCAACAGTGTGTGAAAACCTTGTGAAGACTTACAGAAAACGTTTGACCTGTGTCATTGCCAACAAAGGGTATATAACAAAGTATTGAGAAACTTTTGTTATTGACCAAATATTTATTTTCCACCATAATTTGCAAATAAATTCATAAAAAATCCTACAATGTGATTTTCTGGATTTTTTTTTCTCATTTTGTCTGTCATAGTTGACGTGTACCTATGATGAAAATTACAGGCCTCTCTCATCTTTTTAAGTGGGAGAACTTGCACAATTGGTGGCTGACTAAATACTTTTTTTCCCCACTGTATATATATATATATTATAATTTTTTCATACTGGCCCCCCGTGGGAATCGAACCCACAACCCTGGCGTTGCAAACGCCATGCTCTACCAACTGAGCTACATCCCTGCCGGCCATTCCCTCCCCTACCCTGGATGAATTGTGCGCCACCCCATGAGTCTCCCGGTCGCGGCCAGCTACGACAGAGCCTGGATTCGAACCAGGATCTCTAGTGGCACAGACCACTGTGCCACTCGGGAACCACGTGATCAAAACAATCTTGGAGCATGTATTCTAATTGGTCTGACCAGCGTTGTACAGACCTGACCACCAGAACTTCCCTCTGGAAGTAGCTACTACAGTGCATTTATCACGGGAGCTGTGTTTGGGGGTTTGGAGTGAGACGACAGTCGGACACACTCCCACTCTTCAGGTAGAGGCAAATTAATCGAGAGAGATGCAGGAACACACTGCGAGGTCAGTCATCGGAAGAATGCAGTCCTCTCACAGAGCTGGATGAAATGAAGATTAGAGACAAGCGGGTGTGGAGGGAGATGCTATAATTATGTTCACTCATGTTTGAAAGTGAATATTTTGGGAGACAAAGTAAAGAGAGGAGTGTCAAAAAATAGAAGTCTACATCACTCAGTGAGAATAGCAAATAGTGTGAGAACCACCTTGAAGGAACTTTTTGATTATTTTGTTTCTCAGGTCTTAGGAGTGAAAAGTAATCGATCTTCCACAAAGTAGTTTTTTCCCTCCCTAAAACTACAAGGTGCTTTTCTGTGAGGCCATAGTGTGTTCTGTCACCCCAAAGCTATTCAAGGGTGTAACAGTGTGATACTGCTCACTTGCTACCATACATGACTGTGTCACCAGGGCTGTGGTGGAATCAGACGACACAGGTTTGGAACGTACTGTAAGGTATAGGCCAGTATATGCTTATGAATAAGCAATCTTCTATTGCAAGGACACACTACATAACCTTACAACTAGTGTCTTGTAATATCCACAGGGATACATCTCTTCTGATCTCAAACTAGGGACTTCAGCCTTCAAAGCTCAGCCCCCTCCCTCCTCCCCAGCCCGCTGGAAATGGTCATTGACATTAATGTGATATTTGAGAAAGTATAGCTCTGTTAATTAGCCACAGTCATTCTTGAGTCTGAAAGGGTAATGTTTCACACCCACACCCCCTCTCTCCAGCCCCTACCCCCTTCTCTGCCAAACCCAACACTATGACATTTAAACAAGCTGCTTGTTATTTTAAGACAAAAAAAAAAGGGAACACTTGCTTTTACTGGCACACAACAGTGATCACGATCCATTTGACTTGAATAGACTCTGTTGGAGTGTTTTCAGAGGAAGTTCCGCCAGCACAAAGGCTCTCTGTATGCGATGGGTTACAGTCTTCATTAATGCTGAGATCCTCCATTAAGACAGCTATTAGAATGGCCTGAAAGAGAAAACCACATCTATTCTTAATAGCGGAGGGTGAATTGTATTGTAAATCAAGATGTATTTTAGAAATGGCCTATTGTTATAATAGTGTTCACTATTGAAACAATTATAGCTTACTATTACCCTCAAGTTACCAACATATTTTATATACATCAATTAACAACTGAGGTCATTTTTAACCCCAGAAGAAACTATTGGAAAAAGCAACAATCACAGCAAAATATCAACTCATTTCTTATCAAAACATCATTAGTTATGTTATCTGAAATAAATAATGACCAAAACAGACTGTTATTTTTGCCAAAGTGCAGTTAGTTTGCATATTCTGTCAAACGAAAATATAAATTTTACATTTATTGTCCAGCTTTTTTTCAAAGTACAATCCACATTAGTACTAAAAAGCTCACTTACCATCATTTGAATATAGTATCGTTTAGTTTTCAGAATGTTGAAGAAAATATGTATTATTTCATATTGATGTGGTAAAAATGACTGCCATTTAAAGGGGCAGTACATCAACATATTAAATATACTTAACTTTCTTAACAAAAAGTTATTCAAATCACTTCAAAAACTGATCCTGAGAGACATTGACCAAAAATATAGCTTAGTTTTGTTTATTTACTTACACCACAGCCAGCATTAGTATCACTGTTAGTGAAACAATGTGAGTGGTAGGTGCTTAAGCAGCTTCAAAAAGGCCCAGTGCAATGTTTGGTATACTCAGTGTAGTTCTTCACTGTTATGTAGCCAACTTTACATTATTCATGCATTGTGTGGAAGGGCTGGGATGGATAGCACACCAGAGAAGAGCAAAGAGGACAGTATTATTTTACAAAGGGGTCAGCCCGAGGCAGAATGGTTTGCAGCATGTTTGAGCTCAACATCTAATCAACACTTCAGAAATGCTTCAGTAGCTAGGTTTCCATCCAATTGGCGACCGATTTTTCATGCAAATATTCTAAAATCCGCATAAAAACAATATGGCAAGTTTCCCTCAAGATGTTTCCAGCAAATGGACTTGTTGCAGATAAAAGGCTGTGCGTGATGACGTAGTGCACATAAAAATAACTTTAGTGGTTAAATTCCCATGTACCAACAAAATACAACAACAAGTTAAATGGGTTTCCATCGCATTTTCAACTCTACTGATGGTTTTGTCACACAAAAAATTGTGTTATATAGCAATTGTGCCCACTCTGGTCTTGGCATGTGCACTCTAGCCAACAGCTTGCAGATACAGTGCGGGTAGCCTACTACATGATGAGATTATTATGGACAAAAGAGCAAAATTATTTGTATTTGTCAAACAGCAGCCAAGAATCATAATGTCACCAGAATAAGACCCTCAATATTTATTGGAAAGGATGAATTGGTTCATTTTGGAGGTATTTGACCCTGTTGTGTTAGAAACATGAATTCTTAAATACATTTTGTCAATCTGACAATAATTTCTAATTTTGATTTCTCAATTCAATAGTTTCAATAACACAAGTAAATTAAGTAAATCTGTAATAATCATTTTAAGTAAAAATAACCTTTTTCCATTAGGTGTAACTACTGTCCAAAATTGAATTAAGTAGATCCAAATAAATGTTTTGTGCATTACCGCATCACCTTGCACATTCACATGGTTTCCCAAGTCATATTGGGAGGACCACTGTCACACCCTGACCTTTAAATGCCTGTTGTTTCTCGTTGGTTTGGTCAGGGTGTGAATTTCTATGTGTATATCTATGTGTATGATCTATGTGTGGTTCCCAATCAGAGGCAGCTGTCGATCGTTGTCTCTGATTGGGGATCATACTTAGGCAGCCATTTTGCCTACCTATGTTGTGGGATCTTGACTCTGGTTTGGCTTGTTTGTGTGTAGCCATAGTGAGCTTCACGGTACGTTGCTTTTGTTGTTTTTGTAGAGTGTTTATTTGTTCTAATAAACATGTACGCATACCATGCTGCACCTTGGTCTGACCCGTCTCTCAACGAACGTGACAGAAGATCCCTCCACCAACGGACCAAGCAGCGTGTCCAGGAAAAGCAAGAAACCTGGACATGGGAGGAGATACTTGAAGGAAAACGATCATGGACATGGGAAGAGATCCAGGATGGTATGGATCGCCTTCCTTGGGAGCAAACAGAGGCAGCGAGGGAGAAAATACGGCGACTCCAAAATGCGAGACGACGAAGGAGACCCGAGAGGCAACCCCAAGAAAATGTTGTCGGGGCACACGGGGTGGTTGATGAAGCAGCAGGAGGCCGTGAAAGGGCTGACTGTAGAGGAGGAGGCCGCTATTTTAGAGGTCCTCCAAGACCTGCGGATCAGCAGTTTGAGAGAGGAGGCCACCACATTACGGGGGCTGATTGCGAGGATAGAGCAGGAGAGCTCCCTTCAAGAGGAGGCGCTGCAGGAGGCCCGTAGGGAGAAGGATTTAGTGGATGCACGAAGAGAGGAGCTGGCCAGGCAACAGAGGGAGCGTGTGTTCATTGAGGAACCAAGGTATGCGGAGATACGCACTGTGTCACCAGTGCGCCTTCACAGCCCAGTGCGTCCTGTGCCAGCGCCCCGCACGTGCCGTGCGAAAGTGGGCATCCAGCCAGGATGAGTTGTGCCGGCTCAATGCTCCTGGTCTCCAGTGCGCCTCCACGGTCCAGTATATCCTGCGCCAGTCCTACGCACTGTGTCGCCAGTGAGTGTTCACAGCCCAGTGCGTCCTGTGCCAGCGCCCCGCACGTGCCGTGCGAAAGTGGGCATCCAGCCAGGACGGGTTGTGCCAGCTTTACACTCCAGACCTCCAGTACGCCTCCACAGTCCCGTACCTGCTCCCCGCACCAAACCAGTGGTGCGTGTCACCAGCCCGGTACGCCCCATACCTGCTCCTTGCACCAAACCAGTGGTGCGTGTATCCAGTCCGGTACGCCCCGTACCTGGTCCCCGCACCAAACCAGTGGTGCGTGTATCCAGTCCGGTACGCCCCGTACCTGCTCCCCGCACCAAACCAGTGGTGCGTGTCGCCAGCCCGGTATGCCCCATACCTGCTCCCCGCACCAAACCAGTGGTACGTGTATCCAGTCCGGTACGGCCCATACCTGTCCCCGCACCAAACCAGTGGTGCGTGTATCCAGTCCGGTACTGCCCGTACCTGCTCCCCGCACCAAACCAGTGGTGCGTGTCGCCAGCCCGGTACGCCCCGTACCTGCTCCCCGCACCAAACCAGTGGTGCGTGTCTCCAGCCCGGTACGCCCCGTACCTGCTCCCCGCACCAAAATAGGGGTGCGTGTATCCAGTCCGGTACGGCCCGTACCTGCTCCTCGCACCAAACCAGTGGTGCGTGTCGCCAGCCCAGTACGCCCCGTACCTAATCCCCGCACCAAACCAGTGGTGCGTGTATCCAGTCCAGCACGGCCCGTGCCTGCTCCTCGCACCAAACCAGTGGTGCGTGTCTCCAGTCCGTCACGGCCCGTACCTGCTCCCCGCACCAAACCAGTGGTGCCCAGTCCAGAGCCAGAGCAGTCCGCTCCACCGGGGTCCAGTTCAGCTCCGGTCAGCGGCTCCACTCCAGTGCCAGAGCAGTCCGCTCCACCGGTGCCCAGTCCAGTATCATACTTAGGCAGCCATTTTGCCTACCTATGTTGTGGGATCTTGACTCTGGTTTGGCTTGTTTGTGTGTAGCCATAGTCAGCTTCACGGTACGTTGCTTTTGTTGTTTTTGTCGAGTGTTTATTTGTTCTAATAAACATGTACGCATACCACGCTGCACCTTGGTCTGACCCGTCTCTCAACAACCGTGACAACCACACGCCATATCATCGCTTGACTCCAAGTTTACTTTGATATGATGATTATTGTATCAATATTTCTGCATAAAGGCATTTCCACCACCGTTTCTCACATAATACATTTTACAGACACAAAAAGATCCAACCATGTAGAACAAACAAATTATCTGTCTGCATTTATAAAATTATACCGAAACTACCTGTTTCCATCACAGCTGTGGTGATTTTTTTTTATATACGGTTTGACTTTACTTGCATAACTGTGGATGAAAACGTGGTTACCGACAAACATTTATTAACTGTTTTGAAGAGTTGAAGGATGGCGCTGCATAGCAGCCTTTTACGGGCTCCTGACCAATTCTACTATTTTGTGTTTTTTTGCACTGATCTTAATTTTTGAACATAATGCTTCCGCCATCGTTTCCTATGACCCAAAAGGGCTTCTGGACATCACCTCGATTTGGATGAAGATTCCTACTTCAACGAGTCGGAGGCGCAGAACATACTGCTCACCACAGACCAGGCCCTTATCCCTGAGACACGGAAAATAAAAAGAGGCGCCAACGTGCAGGAACCCTGATGAAACTGTGTCGGCAGGTACATAAACTACCTCTACCCATCATTCTATTGGCAAACATACAATCACTGAGAACAAACCGGACGAGCTCCGTTCGAGTCTATCCTATCAACGGCACCCACCTGAAGAACTGTAATATCCTATGTTTCACAGAGTCGTGGCTGAACAACGACATGGATAATATACATCTAGCTGGTTTTTCTATGCATTGGCAGGAAAGAACAGCAGCGTCGTATAAGCTCAAGGGAGGGGATGTGTGTCTCTTTTGTTAACAACAGCATTTACATTTACGTCATTTAGCAGACACTCTTATCCAGAGCGACTTACAGTTAGTGAGTGCATACATTATTTTTATTTTACATACTTGCCCCCCGTGGGAATCGAACCCACAACCCTGGCGTTGCAAACGCCATGCTCTACCAACTGAGCTACATCCCTGCCAGCCATTCCCTCCCCTACCCTGGATGACACTGGGCCAATTGTGCACTGCCCCATGGGTCTCCCGGTCGCGGCCGGCTACGACAGAGCCTGGATTCGAACCAGGATCTCTAGTGGCACAGCGAGCACTGCGATGCAGTGCCTTATACCACTGCGCCACTCGGGAGTCCTAAGCAGGTGGCAATCGCTTATATTAAGTCTCTAAGTTCTGCTTGAGTTAGAATACCACATGATAAGCTGTAGACCAGGACTGCCCAACCCTGTTCCTGGAGAGCTACCGTCCTGTAGGTTTTTGCTCCAACCCTAATCTAGCACACCTGATTCTAAAAATTAGCAGGTTGATAAGATGAATCAGGTTAGTAACACCTGGGGTTGGAGTGAAAACCTTCAGGAGGGTAGCTCTCCAGGAACAAGGTTTGGGCTACCCTGCTGTAGACCATACTATTTACCAATAGAGTTTTCATCCATATTTTTCGTAGCTGTCTATTTACTACCACAAACTGATGCTGGCACTAAGACCACTCTCAACAAGCTGTATAGGGCCTTAAGCAAACAAGAAAATGCTCATCCAGAGGTGGTGCTCCTAGTGGCCGGTGATGTAGGAAAACTGAAATCAGTTTTACCTAATTTCTACCAGCATGTCACGTGTGCAACTAGAGGCACAAAAACCACCTTTACTCCACACACTGACCATAACTCTATCCTCCTGATTCCTGCTTACAAGCAAAAACTCAAACAGGAAGTGCCAGTTGCCCGATGAAGCGGATGCTAAGCTACAGGACTGTTTCACTAGCACAGACTGGAATATGTTCCAAGATTCACCTGATGGATTTGAGGAGTTTACCACAACAGTCACCGGCTTCATTAATAAGTGCATCAACGACGTCGTCCCCACAGTGACCGTACGAACATATCCCAACCAGAAGCCATGGATTACAGGCAACATCCATACTGTAACGTGGAGTGCCTTCAAGGAGCGGGACACTAATCCGGACGATTATTAAAAAATACAGATACGCCCTCTGACGAATCATCAAACAGGCAAAGCATCAATACAGGACTAAAATTGAATCCTATTATACCGGCTCTGACCCTCGTTGGATGTGTCAGGGCTTGCAAACTATCACGGATTACAAAGAGAAACCCAGCCGCGAGCCTACCAGACGAGCTAAACTACCAGATGAGATATAGCACCCCATGTGCTCGCCTAAGATTGTACTTTTCTATACCAAGTATCGTATGACTGTGTACAAAACCATTTATTTTTGGTTTTGAATGGTATACAAATTCTGCCAATGGTATAAATACTTGATACAACTGCAATATAGAACTCAGATACACTCTGAGAGGATAGAGAGGATTGTTGTGTATTCTCTGAAAATTAGTTATTCTAGGGAAACAGTCTATGACTTGGTTGGCTGGAGTCTTTGACCATTTTTAGGGACTTCCTCTGACACTGCCTGGTATAGAGGTCCTGGATAGGAGGGAGCTCGGCCCCAGTCATTTACTGGGCTGTACGCACTACCCTCTGTAGTCCCTTGCTGTTGGATGCCTAGCAGTTGAGGGCGTTGTCGTGCCCTCTTCACGACTGTGTTGGTGTCTGTGGACCATGATAGATCCTTAGTGATGTAGAGACAGACAGAGAGCGAGAGAGAGAGACAGACAGACAGCGCGAGAGAGAGAGAGAGAGAGAGAGAGACATAGAGAGAGCGACAGAGAGAGAGCGACAGAGGGAGAGCGAGAGCAACAGAGAGAGAGAGAGCGCACCAGAGAGAGAGAGCGCACCAGAGAGAGAGAGAGCGCACCAGAGAGAGAGCGAGCGCACCAGAGAGAGAGAGAGAGCGCCAGAGAGAGAGCGAGCGCACCAGAGAGAGAGAGCGCACCAGAGAGAGAGCGAGCGCAACAGAGAGAGAAAATGTCACAACAGAGAGAGCGCAACAGAGAGAGAGAGAAAGCAACAGAGAGAGCAACACAGAGAGAGAGAGCAACACACATAGAGAGATAGCAACACAGAGAGAGAGAGCAACAGAGCGAGAGAGAGCAACAGAGAGAAAGAGAGAGATTGCAAAAGAGAGAGAGAGAGAATGAGCGCCACACAGAGAGAGAGAGAGAGAGAGAGCAACAGAGAGCGCAAAAGAGAATGAGAGAGCGTGCACATGGAGATATTCTTCATATGTGTCACTGAGTGACTTATTTCCCTAGAGACAACATTTTAGGATCCCAGGTTTTGATTCAAGACAATTTCATCTTTGAAAAGTTTAGTCAGCCAGGCCTAACGAGGACTTCATCACCAGAGGTACAGTGGGGAGAACAAGTATTTGATACACTGACGATTTTGCAGGTTTTCTTACTTACAAAGCATGTAGAGGTCTGTAATTTTTATCATAGGTACACTTCAACTGTTAGAGACGGAATCTAAAACAAAAATCCAGAAAATCACATTGTATGATTTTTATGTAATTAATTTGCATTTTATTGCATGACATAAGTATTTGATCACCTACCAACCAGTAAGAATTCTGGCTCTCACAGACCTGTTAGTTTTTCTTTAAGAAGCCCTCCTGTTCTCCACTCATTACCTGTATTAACTGCACCTGTTTGAACTCGTTACCTGTATAAAAGAAACCTGTCCACACACTCAATCAAACAGACGCCAACCTCTCCACAATGGCCAAGACCAGAGAGCTATGTAAGGACATCAGGGATAAAATTGTAGACCTGCACAAGGCTGGGATGGGCTACAGGACAATAGGCAAGCAGCTTGGTGAGAAGGCAACAACTGTTGGCGCAATTATTAGAAAATGGAAGAAGTTCAAGATGACGGTCAATCACCCTCGGTCTGGGGCTCCATGCAAGATCTCAACTCGTGGGGCATCAATGATCATGAGGAAGGTTAGGGATCAGCCCAGAACTACACGGCAGGACCTGGTCAATGATCTGAAGAGAGCTGGGACCACAGTCTCAAAGAAAACCATTAGTAACACACTACACCGTCATGGATTAAAATCCTGCAGCGCACGCAAGGTCCCCAACTCCACTCGCCGTGTTTGGAGGAAGAAGAAGGATGAGTACAACCCCAAGAACACCATCCCAACCGTGAAGCATGGAGGTGGAAACATCATTCTTTGGGGATGCTTTTCTGCAAAGGGGACAGGACGACTGCACCGTATTGAGGGGAGAATGGATGGGGCCATGTATCGCGAGATCTTGGCCAACAACCTCCTTCCCTCAGTAAGAGCATTGAAGATGGGTCGTGGCTGGGTCTTCCAGCATGACAACGACCCAAAACACACAGCCAGGGCAACTAAGGAGTGGCTCTGTAAGAAGCATCTCAAGGTCCTGGAGTGGCCTAGCCAGTCTCCAGACATGAACCCAATAGAAAATCTTTGGAGGGAGCTGAAAGTCCGTATTGCCCAGTGACAGCCCCGAAACCTGAAGGATCTGGAGAATGTATGGAGGAGTGGGCCAAAATCCCTGCTGCAGTGTGTGCAAACCTGGTCAAGACTTACAGGAAACGTATGATCTCTGTAATTGCAAACAAAGGTTTCTGTACCAAATATTAAGTTCTGCTTTTCTGATGTATCAAATACTTATGTCATGCAATTAAATGCAAATTAATTACTTAAAAATCATACAATGTGATTTTCTGGATTTTTGTTTGAGATTCCGTCTCTCATAGTTGAAGTGTACCTATGATAAATATTACAGACCTCTACATGCTTTGTAAGTAGGAAAACCTGCAAAATCGGCAGTGTATCAAATACTTGTTCTCCCCACTGTAAATGGGAGCCTGTTTTTCTCTGTGATTTCTGTACACCAAATGCCCATTGATGACATTCCCTGGGCCAGAATATATGGCTACAGTTGAAGTCGGAAGTTTACATTCACTTAGGTTGGAATCATTAAAACTCGTTTTTCAACCACTCCACACATTTCTTGTTAACAAACTTTAGTTTTGACAAGTCGGTTGGGACATTTACTTTGTGCATGACACAAGTAATTTTTCCAACAATTGTTTACAGACAGGTTATTTCACTTATAATTCACTGTATCACAATTCCAGTGGGTCAGAAGTTGACATACACTAAGTTGACTGTGCCTTTAAACATCTTAGAATATTCCAGAAAATGAGGTCATGGCTTTAGAAGCTTCTGATGGGCTAATTGACATCATTTGGAGGTGTACCTTATTTTTATTTTAGTCATTTAGCAGACACTCTTTTCCAGAGCGACTTGAGTGCACACTTTCTATAATTTTTTAATACCATCTGTGGGAATCGAACCCACAACCCTGGCATTGCAAACGCCGTGCTCCACAAACTGCCGGCCATTCCCTCCCCTGAAAACTGAGTTTAAATGTATTTGGCTAAGGTGTATGTAAACCTCCGACTTCAACTGTAGTTCCCTGACACAGGAGGTATGCAAATGTAATCTGGAGCAGCTGTGGAGTCATTTGTGGTGAGGCCATATGGGATGATGTGGCAGAAATACAGCGTCATTTCACGCGCTTTGACCCCGACCTCTAATGACAGAAACAACTGGCTGACCCACCTATAGGAGTGGGGTCAGTTACCCTGCTCATGTAATGCATTGGATGGGGTCAGATATACACTGACTGTTCAAAACTTTAAGGACACCTTACTAATATTGAGTTGCACCCCCCCTTTTGCCCTCAGAACAGTCTCAATTCTTTGGGTCATGGCCTCTACAAGGTGTCGAAAGCGTTCCACAGGGATGCTGGCCCATGTTGACTCCAATGCTTCCCACAGTTGTGTCAAGTTGGCTGGATTTCCTTTGGGTTGTGGACCATTCTTGATACACACAGGAAACTGTTGACCGTGAAAAACCCAGCCGTGTTGCAGTTCTTGACACAAACTGATGCACCTGGCACCTACTACCATACCCCGTTCAAAGACACTTAAACCTTAGTCTTGCCCATTCACCCCCTTAATGTTTTGTACACAGTGTATACTAGCAGGTGGAATAGTGTTACATGTATGGGGAGTTCTGAAAAGTACAGTGAGTACACTGGTGAGAGAAGGATTTATATATATTATATAATTACATACTTTCCTGGATCCTATCTGAGCTCCATCCCTAGAGCTCAGTAAACCTGATATAGCCTACGTCACCTGGCCACAAGGAATTACTGCAACTTTATTGCAATGGCTGCAAAAACAATTGCGTGTGGCATAGCTTAGCTCTATCCTACTGTACAGTACAACAAAACACAATATACCGGACACAGTTTTCTCTGCAACAAAAGCCCACCCAAAGTATATGCACAGATTGCACACAGTCCCCTGTAATGTGTTGACATCATCAGTATCAACGTAGTGGAAGCAGTGTTGTGATTCTCTTATCAGCCTTCCCCAGAGCACGGCTCAAGCCAACAGCAGCAAACAACGGCATCTGACTAAAAACCCCAGTGTAGTGCAACGCCGGGCATAAATCTCCCACCATCGTCTCTCTCTCCTCCTCTCCCCTCCCTGACTGTTCCAGAAATGTATTTTAAGACTGATCCCTCACAGCTCTAATACTGTCTCCCCCAACATCACCACAGGTGATTTTCAGTGCGCTGATTTTGAATTGATTGCCGTGGTGAATAAACACTATGGGGTGGTGCGCCAAAGGCAATAGGAACTCACGCATGCACGTACAGTATGCATGTAAGCACTCACTCACACACACGTACGTAAGCACACACACACACGGAATTGGAATGCCTTTATGGAAACCAGATAAGACCATGACACTTTAATATGATTATGGCTGTTTCCCTTTCATGTTAACTCAACGATTTCCTGAATGGCGTGTCATGGAACACTATGATCGTCAGTGGGTGGATGTCAGGGAATAGTGTCAGGGAATGTCATCCTGTGTCAGGCGGAGGCTACTTTCTATCAACACTTGGATAATTGTCGCTAACTGGAATACCATCTGTCCATCCCGTTAACAAGGACAGGTGCTCGTGGACATACTGTAATAAACTGACCAATCTAAGAGTTATCTTTAATCCACTCTAAATGTGTTCTAACCAGAAAGTTCCCATGTAGGACTGGTTAGTGACAGATGACAGGGTGTGTGTGCAGGGGTGGATGTTTTGGGTCAAGATTGACAGTGCACTTTCCGCAAAGCTGACACAATGGAACAAAAAACCTTGAGTATGGGTAAACAAAGGCTTTGGGGGATAACACTGTGGCTTGCTGGATGGGACAAGTGCCAGTGATATGAGTGAGTGAATAAAATGTACAGTTTAATGGTGTTGTGTGTGTGATTCTGATTGAGCCTCTTCTCTACACAGGGATAGAGAGAGGGGAAAGAGAGAGGCGTTGTTTAGCTGAAGGTCAGATGGCGAGCCGTCAGGCAGCACAGACCGTGGACACAGCAGGAACGCCACCCAGTGACATTTAGGGTGACAGCTAACACAGGCTGTAGGCTGCTCAATAAGCATGCCACGTCATATCCTTCTTATTCACTTTACTATAGGGCTCACTACAGTTTCTCCAGGGTCATTAACTGGTTATGTGGATGTGATATGGTAGCAGCGTAGCTGGAATAGACCTGTAGAGAATGGCGCTGGGATGTATAGCAGCCTTTTTACGGGCTCCTGACCAATTATGCTATTTTGCGTGCTTTTTTTACTCTGGTCGTAACTTATTTTCGACATCAAGTCTCCACCATAGTTTCCTATGACCGTAAATATCTTCTTGGACATCAGAATAGCGATCACTTACCTTGATATGGTTGAAGAATTCTACTTCAATGACTAGGCCCTAATCCCCAACCCTCGAAGAGTAAAATACGGCGATATAGACGCCGACGTGGAGGCACCCTAATGAAAATATGGTGACGAGTAAATAAACGGCCTCTCCCCTCTGTTCTATCAGTGGCTAACTGCAAGCGTTGCAAAGCAATCACTATTTTGCTTTTCCTGCTATTCGGTGGAGAGGGTGTGTGGTCGAAGTCTGGGTTTAAGGGTCTCTTTTCCAAGCTTAAAAGGATAAACATTCACACGCAACACCATGGGCCAGAAAATATTGAATACATTGGCCATGCTGTCAATTCAGCATGACTTCTGCCACGTTCAAAACGCTGGAAACTCGGAACTGGGAAATCTCAGGCTTCAGTGAGTTCAAGACAACTGGGAACTCCCCCCAAAAAAAGAGCCCTGACTGGGAAAATACGTTTTGAACGGTCATCCAACTCGAAATTCCAAGTAGGGAACTCTGGCCTCTTTTTAGAGCTCCGACCTGAAGATCACTGACGTCATGATTCAACCTTGTTTTTTTCCAAGTTCCCAGTTGTCTTGAAAGCACCATAAATCCAGAGAATTCCAGACTTTGATGACAAACTTTGCCCACAAGAAGGACCTCCGCGCCAACTTCCTGTTCAAGCGAGCACAGCACAACGGTGAGTCCAAAAATGTATTGTCTGCTGCTGGGGAGATATGCATACTGTAGCTAAGACAGTAATAAGTGTATGTTGTGTAGTAAGCTGTTAGTAGCCCATGTGCCTCACCCAAAAAATGTGGTCCCTTCCCCCTCATAACTTAGCCTAATGTTCTGACTTGGTGGTGCGCATGTAGCCTATAGACTGTTTTAGAGAAATGTCATCATCGAATATCGTAAGAGCTTTCATTGTCTGCTTATATGCCCCTTTTATTTATCCTATGGTTCTGACTTGGTGTACAGGGAGAATACTGTAAGAACGGCCCATGTTCTGAATTCTGTCACTGTACATTTCAAAAGTGCTGAACAAATAGGTGTATTGACTATGTCTGTTTTAGCTAGCTCATTAATGTCTTAATCTAAATTACGGATTGCCTCTTATCCGGTCATCGTTTCCTTATGCCATAGTTTATCATTTACATCTCAATGGTCAGTAGAAAACACATTTGTTTAAGCAAGTCAGCCATATCAGCTATGTTTTTTAAAAAGGCAGTAAATGAGGCTGAATGAACTGTTTCGCTGCCAGACGAGGCTCCACTGATAGCCAGGTGTAGCGGTGCTAAGGATCACTCCATGGTGCTGAAAGGAAAGCTCTGCTGTTGGGACAGCTTTATGTAGGCCCTAACAGTTTGTGGGCACTGTTTGTCACCGTTATAGTGCAATTAATGTATTGTTTAGTGTTGTGTTGTGTTCTGTAGTTGCTTTGCTGGCATGCATCTAAAAAAAGATTTACATCCTAAAATCGCCACTGGCAACTAGAGTGAACAAAACTCTAGATCACCTTTACTCCACACAAAGAGACATATAAAGCTCTCCTTCGCCCTCCATTTGGCAAATCTGACCATAAGGCTATCTTCCTGATGCTTGCATACAAGCAAAAACCAGTGACATTCTCAATTCGGAAGTGGTCCGATGAAGCGGATGCTAAGCTACAGGACTGTTTTGCTAGCACAGACTGGAATACACTACATCACCGAAAGTATGTGGACACCTGCTCTTCGACCATCTCATTCCAAAATCATGGGCATTAATATGGAGTTGGTCCCCCTTTTGCTGCTATAAGAGCCTCCACTCTTCTGGGAAGGCTTTCCACTAGATGTTGGAACATTGCTGCGGGGACTTGTGTAATGAATACTCGGACAGAGTGGTAAGATCCAATCGCAGAATAGCGATGCTTTATTAGAGTACAGACAAGGGAATAGCTTAATCGTGGTCGGGCGGGCTGTGGTCAAAACCGGGCCAGGCAGAGACAGGCAGAGGTACCAAGGGAGCGGGCTTAGTCGTAGTCGAGGTCACAGACACAGGATCAGAGGACGGTAATCACTGGGGTAGACAAGCAGAGGATTAAGCAATTCGGGGAGTCAAACAACAAGGCACAGGTCGGATACACGGGTAATCAAAAACAACAAACTCTCTCTCTCTCTCTCGGAACAAAACGCTTAGCAAGTCACAAAGGAACAATACCTCGCACCGACTGAGCCTCTGAGCACACCTTAAATCCTACCCTAATTACTGACAGGTGTGCTCAGAACTCAGGTGAACCAGATCGAGTCTGATGACTCCCCCTCTCAGTAGATCGGGGAAGTGTCAGACTCTGTCTAGACCCAGCCAACCCCCGATCCCTTACAACTTGCTTCCATTCAGCCACAAGAGCATTAGTGAGGTCGAGCACTGATGTTGGGCGATTACGCCTGGCTCGCAGTCGGCGTTCCAATTCATCCCAAAGGTGTTCGATGGGGTTAAGGTCAGGGCTCTGTGCAGGCCAGTCAAGTTCTTCCACACCAATCTCGACAAACCAGTTCTATATGGACCTCGCTTTGTGCACGGGGGCAATGTCATGCTGAAACAGGAAAGGGCCTTCCCCAAACTGTTGCCACAAATTTGGAAGTACAGAATCGTCTAGAATGTCATTGTTTGCTGTAGCATTAAGATTTATCTTCACTGGAACGAAGGGGCCTAGCCCAAACCATAAAAAACAGCCCAGACCATTATTCATCCTCCACCAAACTTTACAGTTGACACTTTGCATTGGGACATGCACTGTAGCGTTCTCCTGGCATCAGCCAAACCCAGATTCGTCCGTCGGACTGCCAGATGGTGAAGCGTGATTCATCACTCCAGAGAACGCGTTTCCACTGCTCCAGAGTCCGATGGTGGTGAGCTTTACACCACTCCAGCCGACGCTTGGCATTGCGCATGGTGACCCATTTCATGAAGCTCCCGATGAACAGTTCTTGTGCTGATGTTGCTTCCAGAGGCAGTTTGGAACTCGGAAGGGGGTGTTGCAACCGAGGACTGACAATTTTCACGCGTTCTGTGAGCTTGTGTGGCCTACCACTTCGCGGCTGAGCCGTTGTTGCTCCTAGATGTTTCCACCTCACAATAACAGCACTTACAGTTGACCGGGGCAGCTCTAGCAGGGCAGAAATTTGATGAACTGACTTGTTGGAAAGGTGGCATCCTATGACGGTGCCACGTTGAAAGTCACTGAGCTCTTCAGTAAGGCCATTCTACTGCCAATGTTTGTCTTTGGAGATTGCAAGGCTGTGTGGTCAATTGTATACACATGTCAGCAAACGGGTGTGGCTGAAATAGCCAAATCCAATAATTTGAGGGGTGTATGTTCCGGGATTCATCCGATGGCATTGTGGAGTTTACCACATCAGTCACCAGCTCCATTAATAAGTACATCGACTATGTAGTCCCCACAGTGACCCTACGTACATATCCCAATCAGAAGCCATTACAGGCAACATCCGCAATGAGCTAAAGGCTAGAGCCGCCGCTGTCAAGGAGCGGGACACTAACCCGGACACTTCTACCCCCAAGCCATTAGACTTTTAAGCATGACGGCTAAATAGCTAATCAAATGGCTACCCGGACTCCCTTCATTTACCCTTTTTGCGCTAACTCTCTTGCACTGACTCTATGCACCCACACTGGACTCTACCCACACACTCATACTTACTGACACCCCAACGCAGTTCCGAAGCGACCCACTAGGTGTCATCCTCCGACAACCTAGGCGACCTACCTCCGACAACCTAGGCGACATCCTCCGACAATTGGATGTAGTCTTTCACAGTGCCATCCGTTTTGTCTCCAAAGCCCCATACACTACCCACCACTGTGACCTGTACGCTCTTGTTGGCTTGTCCTCACTACATGTTCGTCGTCAAACCCACTGGCTCCAGGCCATCTATAAATCACTGCTAGGCAAATTCCCCGCCTTATCTTAGCTCATTGGTCACCATAGCAGCACCCACCCGTAGTCTGCGCTCCAGCAGGTATATCTCACTGGTCATTCCCAAAGCCAACACCTCCTTTGGCCGCCATTCCTTCCAGTTCTCTGCTGCCAATGACTGGAACGAATTGCAAACATTTCTGAAGCTGGAGACTCTTATCTCCCTCACTAACTTTAAGCATCAGTTGTCAGACCACCTTAACGATCACTGCACCTGTACACAGCCCATCTGAAATTAGCCAACCCAACTACCTCATCCCTATATTGTTATTTATTTTGCTCTTTTGCACCCCAGTATCTCTATTTGCACATAATCTCTTGCACATCTAGCATTCCAGTGTTAATACTAATTGTAATAATTTTGCACTATAGCCTATTTATTGCCATACCTCCATAACTTGCTACATTTGCACACACTGTATATATATTTTCTGTTGTATTTTTTTGACTTTATGTTTTTTTACCCCATATGTAACTCTGTGTTGTTGTTTTTATCGCACTGCTTTGCTTTATCTTGGCCAGGTCGCAGTTGTAAATGAGAACTTGTTCTCAACTGGCTTACCTGGTTAAATAAAGGTAAAAAAAAAAAAAAAAAACTGAGGCACCTCCTCACAGTCGGGACTAATCATCTTCCTATTGATGTCACTTGTGTCTATGATTCACCTGTGTATTTATGCCCTCACTTCCCTGTGTTCCCTTGCTCAGTTTTCTCTGCTAGTTTCACTATGCCAAGCAGTACTAATCAGTGTCTGATCACGGGACGTATGGACAGGTACGTGAGAAGTGTTCTCCCTGTTTATTTATTATTTCAGTCATAGTTAGAATTTCATATTTTGGGCTGTCTGCCTGTTTTTTGGAGTCTTATTTGCTCCGCCCTTCTTTTTTTGTGTAAAGTCTGTTATTTTGTATCCTGGCTTCGGGACCATCAGTAAAGTTCCTTGTTTCACCATCTCTGTCTACTGTCTAACCTGCATCGCACCTGGGTCACACCTCACACAACCCTTACAGAAAACTGAGCGAATGGACCCAGCAAAGGTCAGCGTGGTACTGGATTGGCCCCAGCCCTCATCCCTCAAGCAACTACAAGGGTTTTTAGGGTTCGCTAATTTTTGTAGGCGATTCATTCAACATTTTTGCTCCCTAGCCGCTCCCCTGACAGCCCTCACCCAGACGAGCGTACGCTCCTTCGCCTGGACCCCGGAAGCGGGGAACGCATTTGATGCGCTGAAGCGGTGCTGATCCGTCCCTGCCATTCATTGTGGAGGTGGATGCTTCAGACGTTGCGGTGGGAGCAATCCTGTCCCAGCGCTTCCTCACGGACGGTAAGACTCAACCCTGCACGTTTTTCTCCCGTCGGCTGTCCCCGGCAGAGCGGAATTACGACGTGGGGAACCGTGAGCTGCTAGTGGGCAAGCTTTCCCTGGGGGAGTGGAGACATTGGCTATTTGTCGTATGGACTAACCACAAGAACTTAGCCTACATTCAGGGGGCCAAGAGGCTGAACTTGCGCCAGGCCAGGTGGGCGTTGTTCTTCACCAGGTTCCGGTTCACCATCTCATACCGTCCGGGGTCGAAGAACACCAAGAACGACGCACTCTCCCGGCAGTTCGACCTGGGGAACCTGGTGGAGAGGGACAACCCCATTGTCCCCAACGCCCTGATTGCTGCCCCAGTTTCGTGGGGAATCGATAGGCTGGTCAGAGCAGCGCTACGGCGGGAGCCCAATCCGGGTGGAGGTTCATCGGAGAGGATGTACGTTCCCAAGGCTGCGCGCTCACGACTGCTTCAGTGGGCGCACGTGTCTGACCTCACCAGCCATCCGGGAGGTGCCAGGATGTTGGAGTTCCTGCGTAGGAGGTTCTGGTGGCCATCTGCTTAGGGGGATACGCGCGCCTTCGTGGCTGCTTGCCCATTTGCGCGTGCACGAAGAGCTCACGTCAACCTGTGGCAGGGCTGCTCCGACCCCTGCCTATCCCCAAGCGCCCCTGGTCCCACATCTCGCTGGATTTCATTTCCGCCCTACTGCCCTCTGATGGATACACAGTCATCCTGGTTGTTGTGGACTGGTTCTCAAAGGCTGCACACATCATTCCCCTTCCCAAACTCCCGTCGGCCCGGGAGACGGCTAAGTTGGTGGTGCAGCATGTTTTCTGGGTCCATGGCCTTCCCCAAGATGCGGTGTCGGATCGGGGCCCTCAGTTCACCTCCAGGTTCTGGAAGGCGTTCACCACCTGCCTCTGCGCCTCCGTAAACTTGTCTTCCGGCTTCCATCTCCAGTCTTCCCCTCCACGTGGAGTCCAGGAAGCTGTCCCCCCAGTTCATCGGGCCATTCAGAGTGGTCCGGCGAGTCAACCCAGTGGCCTGCCGCCTGCAACTTCCCCCCACCATGCGGGTGCATCCCACATTCCACGTGTCCCTCCTCAAGCCCGTCGCCACCTGTCCCCTGGCTCCCCCTCCTCGTCCTGTTCCCCCGCTACACCTCGTCGGAGGGCAGCCGGCTTTAACTGTGGACCGGATCCTGGACTGCCAGCTGTGTATTTATGCCCTCACTTCCCTGTGTTCCCTTGCTCAGTTTTCTCTGCTAGTTTCACTATGCCAAGCAGCACTAATCAGTGTCTGATCGCGGGACGTATGAACAGGTACGTGGGAAGTGTTCTCCCTGTTTATTTATTATTTCAGTCATAGTTAGTATTTCATATTTTGGGCTGTCTGCCTGTTTTTTGGAGTCTTATTTGCTCTGCCCTTTTTTTGTGTAAAGTCTGTTATTTTGTATCCTGGCTTCGGGACCATCAGTAAAGTTCCTTGTTTCACCATCTCTGCCTACTGTCTAACCTGCACCGCATCTGGGTCACACCTCACACCAACCTTACACACATATACACACACACACTAAATACGCCAACACACATAACATGCACACACATGCATACTGATGCCACACACACTTTCACACTCATCACATACAGTACGCTGCTGATACTGTATATTATCTATCCTGTTGCCTAGTCACTTTACCCCTACCTACACTGAGTGCATAAAACATTAAGAACACCTTCCTAATATTGAGTTTCACCCTCCTTTTTGCCCTCAGAACAGCCTCAATTCATTGGGGCATGGATTCTACAAGGTGTTGAAAGTGTTCGATATGGATGCTGGCCCATGTAGCTCAGCTGGTAGAGCACGGCGCTTGTAACGCCAAGGTAGTGGGTTCGATCCCCGGGACCACCCATACACAAAAAAATGTATGCACGCATGACTGTAAGTCGCTTTGGATAAAAGCGTCTGCTAAATGGCATATTATTATTATATTATTATTATATGTTGACTTCAATGCTTCCCACAGTTGTGTCAAGTTGGCTGGATGTCCTTTGGTTGGTGGACCATTCTTGATGCACATGGGAAACGGTTGAGCGTGAAAAACCAAGCAGGGTTGCAGATCTTGACACAAACTGATGCTCCTGACACCTACTACCATACCCCGTTCAAAGGCACTTAAATATTTTGTCTTGCACATTCACCCTCTGAATGGCACAAATACACAATCAATGTCTCAAGGCTTAAAAATCCTTCTTTAACCACTCTCCTCCCGTTCACCTAGAGTGATTGAAGTGGATTTAACAAGTGATATCATTAAGGGATCATAGCTTTCACCTGTATTCACCTGGTCAGTCTATGTCATGGAAAGAGCAGGTGTTCTTAATATTTTGTGCACTCAGTGCATATGTACAGTACATAGATACCTCAATTACCTAATTATTTGGATTCATTATTAACTGTGTATTTATTCATTGTCACTATTTACAGTGAGGGGAAAAAAGTATTTGATCCCCTGCTGATTTTGTACGCTTGCCCACTGACAAAGAAATTATCAGTCTATAATTTTAATGGTAGGTTTATTTGAACAGTGATAGACAGAATAACAACAAAAAAATCCAGAAAAACGCATGTCAAAAATGTTATAAATTGATTTGCATTTTAATGAGGGAAATAAGTATTTGACCCCTCTGCAAAACATGACTTAGTACTTGGTGGCAAAACCCTTGTTGGCAATCACAGAGGTCAGACGTTTCTTGTAGTTGGCCACCAGGTTTGCACACATCTCAGGAGGGATTTTGTCCCACTCCTCTTTGCAGATCTTCTCCAAGTCATTAAGGTTTCGAGGCTGACGTTTGGCAACTCGAACCTTCAGCTCCCTCCACAGATTTTCTATGGGATTAAGGTCTGGAGGCTGGCTAGGCCACTCCAGGACCTTAATGTGCTTCTTCTTGAGCCACTCCTTTGTTGCCTTGGCCGTGTATTTTGGGTCATTGTCATGCTGGAATACCCATCCACGACCCATTTTCAATGCCCTGGCTGAGGGAAGGAGGCTCTCACCCAAGATTTGACGGTACATGGCCCCGGCCATCGTTCCCTTTGATGCAGTGAAGTTGTCCTGTCCCCTTAGCAGAAAAACACCCCCAAAGCATAATGTTTCCACCTCCATGTTTGACGGTGGGGATGGTGTTCTTGGGGTCATAGGCAGCATTCCTCCTCCTCCAAACACGGCGAGTTGAGTTGATGCCGAAGAGCTCGATTTTGGTCTCATCTGACCACAACACTTTCACCCAGTTCTCCTCTGAATCATTCAGATGTTCATTGGCAAACTTCAGACGGGCATGTATATGTGCTTTCTTGAGCAGGGGGACCTTGCGGGCGCTGCAGGATTTCAGTCCTTCATGGCGTAGTGTGTTACCAATTGTTTTCTTGGTGACTATGGTCCCAGCTGCCTTGAGATCATTGACAAGATCCTCCCGTGTAGTTCTGGGCTGATTCCTCACCGTTCTCATGATCATTGCAACTCAACGAGGTGAGATCTTGCATGGAGCCCCAGGCCGAGGGAGATTGACAGTTATTTTGTGTTTCTTCCATTTGCGAATAATCGCACCAACTGTTGTCACCTTCTCCCCAAGCTGCTTGGCGATGGTCTTGTAGCCCATTCCAGCCTTGTGTAGGTCTACAATCTTGTCCCTAACATCCTTGGAGAGCTCTTTGGCCTTGGCCATGGTGGAGAGTTTGGAATCTGATTGATTAATTGCTTCTGTGGACAGGTGTCTTTTATACAGGTAACAAGCTGACATTAGGAGCACTCCCTTTAAGAGTGTGCTCCTAATCTCAGCTCATTACCTGTATAAAAGACACCTGGGAGCCAGAAATCTTTCTGATTGAGAAGGGGTCAAATACTTATTTCTCTCATTAAAATGCAAATCAATTTATAACATTTTTGACATGTGTTTTTCTGGATTTTTTTGTCTCTCACGGTTCAAATAAACCTACCATTAAAATTCTAGACTGATCATTTCTTTGTCAGTGGGCAAACGTACAAAATCAGCAGGGGATCAAATACTTTTTTCCCCTCACTGTATATTAATGTTTTATTTTTGTATGTTATCTTTATCTCTGCATTGTTGGAAAAGGACCTGTAAGCATTTCACTGTTTGTCTACACCTGTTGTCTACGAAGCATGTGACTAATAAAATTTGATTTGATTTGAGTCTGTTATTATGTATAATAGAATTTAATACATTTGCCACTGACATCAGATCGTTCTACTTTCATCCCCTCCCCCCTCAGCTCACCAATCGTATTTGGTTTGTTATAAATACCCTCATTGGTGGTGGCTGGCCAGAGTCCAATGAAAAATAGGCCAACATTGTAGACATACGCGTTAGTGCCTGTCTGCATAACACACATCAGAGCATCATCCACATTCTCTCTCTCCCACTGCGCTAGGATATATCATCAGAATCTTAGCAACACGGTATTCTCATGCGCCTGGGTTCCGGGACCTGAGTGTCGTCATTGGTTAAATGGGAGCAGCTGTCTGCTAGTCCTGTGGGTAGGGATGGTGTGAAAGCCTCTGTTTGGACTTGATGTATAAGAGGAAGTGATAATAGAGTACATACCTGCGGAGTCGAAGACGCACTTGAGGGATTTCACTAACCTGCAGACAAATGACAAAATGTTCTCTTTCTTCAACTGCGTCACCATTTTGTATCACTGAACAAACTGTGAAAGGAAAACGTTGGAGATGCATGTGACTGTTGACAAAGATGACAGGTTCAAAGTGTATCATTTCAACTAGTTAGGGGTGTTGTATTCTAGGTAACCAATGGTCCTGTTGTTCTATAGTGACGTGCTGTTGTCTAGGCTCCTATGCTGTTTATTAACTGAGTAATAGTGGTGTCTCCTATGTACACATACAGTCATTGACCTCGTGGCATTATTCAGGCCCACAGTAACCGCTCTGGCCCCTGGCTTACGGAGTGTGGTCAGATCCTATTCATCCCCATTCTTCACATCTCTGTATCTCTGCTCAGATAGTGAGGATGGCAGAATAATCCCCCTAGATAGGACTCTCTCTGTTTCAATGAATACTATTAAGGAACCAGGGCTATTTAACCTCAGAGGGACCATAGCTTTTCTGATGGGCATGACAACAGGAATCTCATCACCATTGCTACATTCAAGTACTAGGTTAACACTCCCACAATGATCATCTGGTCCACACTGTTGGCCTGGGATGTTAAGCTTTTCCCTGGTCTCCCCTGAAGAATGTCCTCCACCAGGGTTGTGGATTCGATTCCCGGGGCCACCCATACGTATGCAAGCATGACTGTAAGTCGCTTTGGATAAAAGCATCTGCTAAATGGCATATATTACATATTATGTATCACAAACAAACATCAATATTGGGTATCAAGACAGAACTAAACAAGTGTACACTTCACTTCCTCCCTAGCAAAACTATTAGTATTACTCCATCTGACAGGTGTGATACAGTATATGACTTCTCATGGACTTTGAGTCAGGGAGCAGAGAGCAGTTACACAGTGGACACCTCGTCACAGCCTTTGCTGTGCGTAAGGGGACTGAGCTAGTGCTTTTCAGCCTCTTTCTGATGGCAAGAGGCCTGTGAGCTCAAAAAAGCGTTATATTTATGGCAGGAAGTAATATCTTGGCAGGCATTGAGCAAATAGGAAAATTATAGAGAAATGGCCCAAACCCTATAACAAACCCTCATCAACCAGAAGGTTATGCCTATAAACAACAACAAAAGGTTTCTTTAATACTATGCAAAGGTCAAGGGCCATGTCATCTGCCAATGAATTCACTTCAGAAAACAACCATGATATAGGACAACATTTGGCAATATGTATGTTTTTAAAGGTCTTTTCACACTATTTTCTGAGCTCATTTTCCTTTTGTCCAGACTGGTCTTTACTGGTGGTACTTTCAAGGTTTATTTTTAGTGTTCAATGTTTTTTGTATAATTGTAGACGTCAACAAAAACTAATTAATGATGAAAGAATGATGTGTGGAAAAAACATATATAAACTAGAAAAGTACATTAACTGAAGTAAATGTGGTGTGCTTGCTAGTCAAATTATTTATGGTGAAATTGTAGTAGTAGTAATGGTAGCAGTAGTGTTGGTAGTAATAGGGTTTTCATAGGCTATGTGTTAGTTATAGTGACGTTTTGGGGTGGTTTGTAGGTGTGGAGTTATTATAGTGGGTTATGGTGGGCTAGTATAGTAGGCTAGGGTGAGTACTATATCATCATAAGCCATATAATGTGTTTTTAAGCTTTTCAAAAGGTTTTCGTTTGAACATTCTGAATGTTTTGTGGCAGTGATTTCAGTTTAGAATGTTGAAGCCTGCATTCTGCCATTTGAAATGAATGGGGATACAATTAAGTGATAATGCCAGAGAAGCAGGTGTTTGGATATATTGTCACGGATGTTGTTAATATATCCTCCAAACACCGGCTTCGAAGGCATTCTCTCTTTTATACAACGGGATATCAACATATTCAAATAATGATTGACATATTTTTATTAAAAAAGTTATTTTTATGAATTTATTCATACTATTTCATCCTTCCACGAGATATAGTCCTGACACAAATCTAAGGTTGCTACCCAAGCCGGCTGGACTTTCGTTCTATCGGTTTGGTTACCGGAGATTCGACCCAGTCGTTAAGTATTTTTGTTCTGTATCTATGGACGCAACCCAGTCGTTCGTTCTAAATGTTCCATTGCCATACTCAGTGGCGGCTCCTGAAAAAATTCTCAGGGGGGGCAATTTTTCTGATGATTTAGGTGACCTACACACATTTTAAAAAAGATATGTCCAGCAACAACATGAAGACAGGGGCAGCATATAAGTCAATACCAGAAGCATTTATTGACTGATCTCAAAAGTGTTGGCTTACCAGGGTTGGTGGAGCCCTCAGTTTCATCTTTGCCTCACAAAGCTAACTCAAACACTCCGCAAAACTTCACACACTGGATTAGCCGGCTGAGGATGTGGCGGTTCTTGCTAATGTCGTAGTAAATATATTTGTTATAGTGAATATGGAATATGATATGTTGAGTAAAATGTTGTGCTAAGATCTATTTAGGTCAGGAGCTGGTTATAAGTTCTGTTCCTATCCAATAACAATGGACAAAAGGGTCCTATCTTGTCAGCCTTGTCAGTTTCAGTTCTCCAGTAAACTTGTGATTATCAACACTAACCTCATCGTTGTGGCGGCGGACAGCTAGCCTGTATCCCTCATCCAGTTGAGTGGGAATGTTCACTCTCCCCAAAGCAGACAATCTCAAACAGCTATCCATGTGGGTCTTTGACAGCTCATGTTTCTTAATCTTTCCTGAAAGATGGTGCATGTCCGTTACACACCAGTCGCTGTCCAAGCGGTGCTGTCTGCCGTGCCGCCTTCAGGGTGAAAGAGTAAGCAGGGGGGTAGCAGAAGACTGCATTAGCTACATCGCAGCCTGCTAGCCAGGTTTTTCGTTCGTACCAATTTTTGGAAAATCCTCGGGTGTAGGACTTCCCCCCTTTAGTAGAAACCTGTTGAATTATTAAATTTGGTCTGGGAGGTCCTAATTGTTTTGTTGCCAATTTATCTTCATTTGTTCGCCGACAAAAAGGAACTTCTTTGAAAGACACAATCGAGTTGCACTGAAGCCTAGCCATTTTGACAGTAATAGTGAATTGATTGACGCTGCTACCCGCTCTTTTCTTAGTTACGTTCATGGTTATGTTACGTATGACGAAAGCGCGTAAGTGCAAGCCCTCAGAAACCCATAGAGATTGTATTGAAAGCTCTGATATTTGAAAAAAATAGATTTTACATGGGAGTCTATGACAGACTTCTGGGCGATTTTCAACCTGACTGAAATCGCCCCAAAAGGGGGGGGGGGCCATTTGAAGCACGACTTTAGCCTGATTGGACATTTAGTGGCACTGTGGCAGATCAGACGTCTAGATTACAACACTGATAACTACTGTTGCCGTGATATAATTGATTAGAAAAAAAATCCCTTCCTTTTCCCGTTTGGCAGTGCGTCGCCCATATCGCCCTATTGAACACACCGCCCCTGGCCATACTGTCTGGCAACGTTCTTATCCCTTGCTTGCTAGGTAGCCAACTACGGCTGACTTAGTCAACAGTGCAGCCAGAATAACAGCAAAGTAGCTGCATTTGCATTTGTTTAAGCTGTTTTCTAGTTACATTTATTTGGATACATCCATAACAATAAGCTAATGTTTCGCGATTTTGCCTGGCATAGAAAATGTGCTCTGGTCAGAAAACTGTTGTTCAGAGGAGCTAGCCAACAACACAGCTAACACAATCACTTCAAACTGAAGCTGGAAAGACTGTAAACTAGCTGCACTTCGTTTCGTTTGACCTTTATTCAATTGACATTTCTTTGTATACAGTGGGGAGAACAAGTATTTGATACACTGCCGATTTTGACTGTTTTCCTACTTACAAAGCATGTAGAGGTCTGTAATTTTTATCATAGGTACACTTCAACTGTGAGAGACATAATCTAAAACGAAAATCCAGAAAATCACATTGTATGATTTTTAAGTAATTAATTTGCATTTTATTGCATGACATAAGTATTTGATACATCAGAAAAGCAGAACTTAATATTTGGTACAGAAACCTTTGTTTGCAATTACAGAGATCATACGTTTCCTGTAGGTCTTGACCAGGTTTGCACACACTGCAGCAGGAATTTTGGCCCACTCCTCCATACAGACCTTCTCCAGATCCTTCAGGTTTCGGTGCTGTCACTGGGCAATATGGACTTTCAGCTCCCTCCAAAGATTTTCTATTGGGTTCAGGTCTGGAGACTGGCTAGGCCACTCCAGGACCTTGAGATGCTTCTTACGGAGCCACTCCTTAGTTGCCCTGGCTGTGTGTTTTGGGTCGTTGTCATGCTGGAAGATCCAGCCATGACCCATCTTCAATGCTCTTACTGAGGGAAGGAGGTTGTTGGCCAAGATCGCGCGATAAATGGCCCCATCCATCCTCCCCTCAATACGGTGCAGTCGTCCTATCCCCTTTGCAGAAAAGCATCCCCAAAGAATGATGTTTCCACCTCCATGCTTCATGGTTGGGATGGTGTTCTTGGGGTTGTACTCATCCTTCTTCTTCCTCCAAACACGGCGAGTGGAGTTTAGACCAAAAAGCTCTATTTTTGTCTCATCAGACCACATGACCTTCTCCCATTCCTCCTCTGGATCATCCAGATGGTCATTGGCAAACTTCAGACGGGCCTGGACATTCGCTGGCTTGAGCAGGGGGACATTGCGTGCGCTGCAGGATTTTAATCCATGACGGCGTAGTGTGTTACTAATGGTTTTCTTTGAGACTGTGGTCCCAGCTCTCTTCAGGTCATTGACCAGGTCCTGCCGTGTAGTTCTGGGCTGATCCCTTACCTTCCTCATGATCATTGATGCCCCACGAGGTGAGATCATGCATGGAGCCCCAGACCGAGGGTGATTGACCGTCATCTTGAACTTCTTCCATTTTCTAATAATTGCGCCAACAGTTGTTGCCTTCTCACCAAGCTGCTTGCCTATTGTCCTGTAGCCCATCCCAGCCTTGTGCAGGTCTACAATTTTATCCCTGATGTCCTTACACAG